CATTGTGCTCCAGGCCTTGGGGGCTCAGACAGTAAAGAAGTTTTTCCTTATGTCTAGCCTGAAATGGTCTTGGAATTGCCTACAGTACTGTGTACAATTTTGGTCCAGACCTGACGCTTCAAAAAGGATGCAGATGACTTGGAACGAGTCCAGCAGAGAGCAACAAAAATAATTAGAGACTTGAGAAGTATGACTTACGAGGAAATGCTGAAAGGATGAGGGGTATTTCATTTGGAGAAGGGAAGACTGGAGTGGGGGGGGAGGGGGGAGGTTGATAACAGTCTTCAAATACCTGAAGGGTGATTACAGAAAGGATGGAGATGGACATTTTTCTATGACTGTAGAGTACAGAACTGGGAGTAATGGCCTCAAACTGCAGCAGGGAAAATTTAGGCTGGAGATTAGGAGCAACTTTATGGTTAGTATGGTCAAGCATCAGAACAGGTTATCCAGAGAAATTATAGAAACTTCATCTTTGGAAATTTTCAAGAACAGGTTAGACAGACATGGCTGGGGTGGTTTAGCTGGGGATGATCCTGCCTTGACCAACTAGATGACCTCATGAGGTCTCTTCCAACCCTACTTTCCTGTGACCCTAAGAGAAATGTAAGACTTTAGCAATATCCTGGCATCTCTAGCTGGCAAAACGGAAGCATTTAGTAGGCAGTAAGTAAAGTGTGGAAGCAGAGATGTGGCTGATGTTCTTATTGAGTGATCATGACAGAGCAAAATGTTCCCCATGTTTTTGCATGAAATTACAACTGTTTACTCTTGATCTATATCTAGGTCAAGTCTCTTTGCCACTGGGAACACAGTCGGGCTGTGATGTGTTCTATCTGTAATTTAATTTCATGTATATCCCATATGTTCTTAAGCAGCTTGTTAGAAGATCATTAAATTCACATTTAGTGACTAGTTTGTATAAAGCATAGTAAGTGAGCAGTAGACTCCTTGAGTGCTACTCCTCTGTATATAAGGACAGTTATATGCTGTGTGATGCTGTATTCTCAGAGGACGGTGCTATAGAAATAAGAGTAATTATTATTGTTGTTCAAGTGCCTAAAGACAATATGGAGACTTGCTTCCCCAGCTGCAGAGCAAAAATATACTGACAACTTCTTTAAGATTTAATATGCTAAAAGGACATGTCTACATGTGTGCATTTACTGCTCAGTAACCAAAATTACTGTGCAGTACAGGCGCACGTCTTCATGTACATGCCCGTACTGCACAGTAATTATGGTGACTTACACCAACTTGAGCTTAAATTTGAAGGTATCAAATTCACGCCCAATTAGTTCCTGCACAGTAACGTATGTGTAGACGCCTTACTGCACAGTAACACTGTGTGTGTGGATTCACTTGGGACTCACTTTAGTCTCAAGTGAGTCCACACACAGTGTTAGTGCGCCTTAACGCCTGCACATGTAGATGCTGGCCTTTTCCTGCTTACTGTGCAGGAAATTTAAGCCGGCATAAAGGCACGTATGGACATGCCCAAAGAATATTGTAGATTCAGACTATAACGTCTATTGGCATAATCATAAGGTTAATTTGTTTTGAGATCTAGAATGAAAGATTCATTCTTTTGAGGACAGCAAAACCTCTGTATGTGCCACACCTCCAAGTCATATCTCCAAATTATATTTGGAGTTTGAAATGCACTGTCTGCTTCCCTGGCCCCTTGAAAAAAAAAGTCTTCAGTAGAAACGCAGAGTGCTGCTCTGCTTACTACCCTGTACAATGTATTCAGATTGTTTTGCTACTAGACTTTAGCAAATGCTTTGCTAATTGGACATTTCCACATTAAAAGCCCATCCTAAAACCTAATGTTGAGTAAATAAGGGAATAAGATTTATCATTAAATATGGTCAGTTAATGAATATGCTAGCAAGCTTGTGCTTCAGTGGACAGCACTTTAAATTTCTCTAATAAGTATTTTAGGTGTGAAGCTTTTCCTGTTTCTGCTGGTAAAAACCAGAAATTGAGGTGCACAGATCCAAGGGGAAAGAGAATTAGACTGTTTGTATTTTCCAAAACAATTACTGTAAATTAGATGTCTGTATAATTGACTGTGACTGAACTTGAGAAGACTGAGTAAAGTATTCCTGCACATCATATCATTCGGTTCTGCTGGAGATTTAAATGACAATAACAATAGCTAGCTTGCATAGCACTTTGTATCCATAGATCAAAGCACTTTGCAGAGGAAGCGCTCCCATATTAGAGGCAAGTAAAACTGAGGCACAGGAAGGTGAAGTTAATTGCCCAGACTTGTCAAGTGTGTCAGTGGCGGAGCTGGGAATAGAGACCATCTTGCTACAGTGCTGCAACCACTGGTCCACATTAACACGAGTTTAAGTATATTCTTGGTGTTCACGTATATTCTTCCGCTAAATACACTCTTACGCTGAATTTGTCAGTTTGCCATCCACCCTTCCTCAGGTGAGAAGTTCTGTTGACTCAAACAGGGCTACTCAGATGAGAGAGGACTACAGCATGCTCAATGACAGCATTCACCAGATGCTATCATGAGTTCTCTTCCTCACAACTCACACTCCTGATAGTTTCCCTACCCCCTTGCTCTCCAAGACACGTCCCCCCTTAGTCTGTCTTCCAAGATTCCCCATCCTAATATTTTTTCACCTCATTTCCCAACTCTTTAGCAATCAACCTATTTATTAATCAAGCAGTATCATCCTCATCATGTCCAGCAGTATATTCCTCCTTTACTCATTCACTCAATAATTCTTTCTGGCATGTGTTTTCAAAAGGCAGACCTGGATGCCTCAGGTAATGACCCTTGTATGGCTTTGGTTCCAGGCCAGTGCATTCAGTTTTCACAATTAAAAGATGACTTTAGTTCCTGCTTTAATTTGTTCTTGGAGCTTGCTCAAAACCTTTATGATTCATTCATCCTTAGTAAATTAACTGAGAATCATAGACAATAACAGACTTCCATTGTTGATGGCAATGTCTCATCACCTCTATTTTCCACCCCATTATTCTTTAACAACGTACATGAAGTGATGTGAGTAGTGAAATGCAATACCAAGTCTTCCAGAAATGAATAGATTCTAAAAACCCATTACTTAAATGACTCTGTAAATAGTTGTATAGGGAAAATCTCTGTGGAGGAGAAAAGGTATTCCTGAGGTTGAAAATAACCGCAATAGTTCTTGTGGAAAACTAGATTTGTTCGGTTTATTTTTCCTGTCCTCTTTTCCTTTCCATAGCACCCTGAGAAGTCTCCTATGAAGACAAGTAGCAGGGCTACATGGAAGAGTTTAAATTCAGTTGGACCCATAGTGAATCTCACAGTTAACGAGGGCCAATGTGAATGACTACATCCAAAACGCTCTCTAAAGGGACGTGTGTAGGACATGGTTTACTGCCTTTGCATTTTTGTTATAAAAATGCAACCATATTGATGAAACAGAAAAAACTTGTGTGCAGGAGAAATGGACTGACCCACAGTCATAGTTTACACATTATATCCTTTTGGTTCATGCTGCCTATCCTTCACTCATCCACACCCTGCCTCCACTAATCCCACTTTCATTATTATGCTTCTGATTTGGCACTTGGCAAAGGAAAAAAGATGCCCAGAATGTTGTTATGCTAAGACTGGAACGGCCCTTTGTTCTGCTGACTTATTGCCTCAGAGGATGGTTTGTAAAGTACTATGTGAATGCTGTGTATTATTTATCTGGCTTTTTGTTATTACTGGGTTTTCATTTTTAATGTTCTTCATGATGTTTTATTCTGAAGATTGCAATTCTTGGTGTGATATATGCTGTAAATATTGTGTTGCTGGACACATGCGTTATATTTCAAGCCATAAAATATTTAAAGATAAAGAATTCTCTGCTGATATAAAAATCTCCATGGGATGTAAGAAGGCCCATGTAATCCTTTACTTTTTTCCAAGTTAGTTGTACTGAAATTGTTAACCTCACGCAGGATGAAGCGAACAAGAAATTTAGACTGGATAACTTGACCTCCTGATAGCATTATTTGAAAGGAAAGGATATATAAAAATTATAAGGGAAACTGAAATTTTGCTGCATGGGACTATATCATTTTCTTTCAGAACAGAAAATCATTTTTATTGTAAATGTTAACTCTTCTCTCTGGGTGCTCATGCCTGTTGACATTAGTTTAAATCAAAATGCCTTTAGAGTAAAGTCTAAAAGATTAAATCAGCAGCGATGCCCACTGTGTGGTCTGTTATACTTATATCTCTGCAACTTTAGACGAGGGACAGAGTTCAGTAAGTATCATATGACACCTATATACAAAATACCCAGTGTGCTAAGTGCTTACAAATACAATCTTTGACCCTGCAAACACATGTTTATGTCTTGAATGAGTGGCTTCATTACAATATATAGACCATGAATAATATTACTGATATGAATCAGTGTGCAGGATCAGGGTCATGCTGCTTATAAACATTGTCCAGATCACTGAAACAAGTGTGTTGCATAAACTGGCCCCTGAATCCATCCTGCTTAGCACTGTAGTAATTTCAGTGGATCTCTTTATGAGGTTAGAGCGAAAATTAAGAGCACACAAGCAAATAGATGAGGTGCAACAAAACTACTACGTTTTCTTTACTGCTATATTTGCTTTTTCAGTTTTTACCTTTAAGACCCGGCAAATTTTGGTTGTCAGATTATTTGACACTGTTACCAAACTAGTATATTTATGCATATGTGTTTGTATACATGTGTGCGCCCATATATAATATATATGCATGCCCATAATTTCCTTTTGTTCTATTTTTTTTAGTTCCTTACTGAGTTTCAATATTTTGTCTCTATATCTTTTTCAGATATTTTGATTTTATATTTTCTCTATTTGATGAAGTTTGGCAGAATAGCTCTGGGGAATACTTGTGTCAGAAATGCTTTCCCATCATTTAATTATCTTCCTTGCAGTAATACCTCTCACACTTCATGTTTTGTCCTTCTTTTTTTTTATTTTTTTTTTTTTAGGTAAAATCAGACTATGATCAGCTTAGAGAAACCCTCATCATAGTGACCAAAGAACGAGATTTGGCTGTGAAGGAGAAACACCAGCTCCAAGTCAAGCTGGAGAACTTAGAGCAGGTCCTAAAGGTATGACCCATAGTTCCATGTCTCAAAACCACTCCTGTGTTCTTAATTCCAAATGTTAGAGGAGATACTAGATGGCTAAAAGCAATATACATGGTGTCTGCACTTTCTAGTGCTTGAATAGTGTCCCAGTAAAACACCTAAGCACAACATCCTTAGGAGCATCTACATATGTGCTTTACTGCATAGTAAACTAATTTACGGTGTAATAAAGCATCACCATCTACACATGCATGGCAATTAGGCTGGTGTAAGCAAATTAACAATGCCTTCAGATAGTCCCATCAGACACAGATACTATCCGATGGTGGAGTAAACTACTGCACTTAAACAAACATGTAGACAGTGACATTGGAATTAGTTTACTCTGGTTCAAATTGCACCTACCTCAGTTTATTCAGTCACATTAATTGCACACGTAGACGTGCTTCTTGTGTAACAAAAAGCTTAAGGAGGCAGCTGAAGTAACTGGATCTTAAATTCTTAAAATGCTTAAATGCTTTGCAGACTACGGATGGGGGTAACCATTAGATAAAGGAGAGTTTCATTACAGTTTCCCCCGATGGTATTGCAACAAAATCCAACATATAATGAAGCTCCAAGAAAGTCATCAGGTAAAAAGGAAGAAATAGAGTGTTGGGGGATTTTTTATTTTAGGCATGCTTTTGTAAGTGGTTGGTTGAGAGATTTAAATATGTAGGAACCATATATATATAATATATGAAAATTCAAAGTGGCAGCATTGGAAAAAGACTAATTGGTTAATACTGAAATACTTCACTTTAGGGGACTGGCAGTGGGAGAAGGGTTGTTATAGAGGCAGATTTTGTCTAGGCTGGTAACAGCTAGAAGTCAGCTGTTTATAACTTTAAGAAATTAGCAAGCTGGCAGGTGTCACTTCAGCTGCTTGTGGATGGGTGGCCGGACTTTCATCCATTTTGTATCCCCTACTACTGTTGGTGTCTGCCACTTTAAGGACTGGAGCAGGCAGCAGCCAGGTGCTTGAGTACGGCGGCCATTTTGAAAACCTATATATATATATATATATATATATATATATATATATGGTGAAGCAGCAGTTTGCCGCTGTCAGCCATGAGAGACACATTAGCCGGCAGAGCTGAGGCTCAGGAACAACTTGAAAGTTTATGGACTGGGGCTATGGGGATGGAGCAGGCTCTTGGTCCTGGGCATGACCTAAAACTGCACCCTGCCAGGGATGGGTGGCCTGGTGGGGCTCCTGGTGGCATGGGAGCCCCCAGGAAATGCCAGACTAGTTACCACCCCAGGGGAAGGCATGTCAGGGTGCGTTAATAACTCCAGCTCCCACAACCAGGTGGATAACCCCATAATAGGGCCCGAGAAGGCAGGCGCATGTTAGAGGGTGTGGGCTAGATGCTCAGAAGCCTGACTTGAGGCACTGTCAACTGGTCAATGCTGGGGCCCAGACCAGAAGGGTCAAAAGGCCCACCACAAGGGACGCCCAGAGCTGGGGGTGTGGGATTCCAACTGGCCTTGGAGGTGAGGCCAGGGCCTGTGTGGCCAAAGGTCTTGGGGGCGGGGGCAGGGCATACCTGAGAGGGGAAAGAGTGCAGAGAGCTAGGCAGCCCAGAATGAGGGTGGAGTAGGCCAACTGATAGGAGGGATCTAGTTGGGGTCCAGATTGGAGAGTTATAGGGCCCAGTGTGGAGCCAGAGATGTCAAGATCTTAGATGCCATCTGTGAGGCATGGGCTGTGGTGTAGGGGATGTTTGGAGATAGCCGCAGATAGCACCCCTAGCATTGGAGCAGGAAATGGGAAGCCTCCTGCCTAATTAACACCATAATTTGGTATCATCAAGGCATGGCAGGAGAGCGAGGTAGGCAGTAAGCACAGAAATTGGTGGGCGGGAGGGCCCCCTTTTACAGTGCTAGTTCTCTATCTATTGAAAGTCTTAATACAGAGGTCCAGGACTGAGGAGCTATGGAGACTACATTTTGCTTCAGAGGTGATTCCTCTAGATTGGGGTTGAAATGCTTTGGGTAGAGGCTTACAATGCTGCCATCCATGCTGCAGTTAGATTGTGGGTGTACAGAACTTGGATATGCAGGGGTTTCACTGCAGGCACTGTTCTCAATGGTGGCAGATGACAGAACAAGAAGCAATGGCCTCAAGGTGCAGCAAGCGAAGTTTAAGTTAGATATTAGGAAAATCTTTCTCACTAGAGGGGTAGCAAAGCACTGGAACAGGTTACCCAGAGAGGTGGTGGAATCTCCATCCTTGGAGGTTTTTAAAACCAGGCAAGACAAAGCCTTGGCTGGGATGATCTAGTTGGATATGGTCCTACTTCGAGCAGGGGATTGGACTACATGACCTCCTGAGGTCCCTTCCAACCCTAATTTTTATGATTCAATGATTCTTTTAAACTTTAGCAACTTCTCCTTTTTATTTTAAATCACGTATTTAATTCTCTCCGTCTGGGATTTCACTGTGTGTTACGGACACTATTCTGTCTGCTTGGCAAGTTATTGCATAACGTTATATGAAGTGCTCATTTCATTACATTGTTTAAGCAACATATAACTTCATATACCATTACTTCCATTTCAGTGAAGGAAACAGTGCATTTCTTCAGCACTGAGATTTGTCTTCATTTGCATATTACCACACTTTTAATTTTTAAAGCATCTCTGGCCACATCTACATGAGACGCTGACTGCACAGCTGCGCAGTAGTGTCACCTGGCAGGAAGCATGAAGCGATGCTACTGCACAGTAGTAATGAGCTACTGCACCGTCAGCATCACCTAAAAGCGATGCTACTGTGCGGTAACTCCAGTCTTTTAGTACTTGTTTGGTTAGGTATGCAGAGACTGTGTCTACATGAGATGCTGACTGTGCATCTAGCTGTCCGCTTGTATAGCTCACATCAAAGTACAAAGTTTAGTATAAACAAGTACTAAATGACTGCACGGTAATGACTGCACAGCTAGCATCTCATGTAGATGCAGCCTCTGTGTGCCTATCCAAACAAGTGCTACCCAGTAAGTGGAGTTACTGCACAGTAGCATTGCTGGATGGCTTTTGGGTGACTCATGCGGCCCAGTACCGTTGCATCATGCTTTCTACTGCATTTTGTGTAGACGCGGCTTCTGCGTGCCTATCTGCAGTGTAAAGACAATATTCTATTAAGTATTCTCTATAGCAATTAACTTTGATATGCCCAAATAAGCACAGATTGTATGATACAAATGTAGGGTCAAACTGTGATTCTCATGCTCATTTTGTATGGAGATGTTAGCCTTTACATGTCCCTAATTCTTATCTTTGTCCTTCACTGCACTGGAATATATAATGTATAACATAATATACCACTGCACTAACAAAAATTTGTTTAAATGTAAGAGTCATAATGAGTAGCTCCTAAGTTTTTCTGGAAGATGCCAAGAAATGAAAGATCTTGAAAAGATAAGTTTGGCTTTGTTTGTACTGAGTTTTTCTTAAGATTTCCAGCAAGTATTGTCACTGTTTTAATAGTGTTTATGAGCATCCACGAAGAACTATGCCCCCTTGTGCTAGGTGCTGCATAGACATTTAGCAAAGACAGTTACTTCTGTCTCAGAGTGTTTGCAGTGCATGTCACAGATTATAATGTGGATCATGCACAACTAAGGGTAAAATGAAGATAAGGCACAAGAGAATTTATCTCCTACTCGGTCTGATAGATTGGGCAGAATTTAATAGGGAAAGGGCTAGAAGGGCCCTTAAAGATAAGGAGCTTGTGTCAGATGGGGTGGAGGAGGAGTTAGTGGAGGGAAGCAGAGAAAGGTTGTGTTGAGTTGGGAATGTGATCCTCTTCACAGCAGTGTTTGGACTGGGTCATGGATGACGGCAGATGTAGGTACTATATACTGATGTAGACAACTTGTTGCTGTAATAGCCAACCATGCTCTAAACAGTTACACAACCCCAGGGTACAGATAATGATAAAAAATTGGGTGCTCCAGAAGTACCACTGCTGGAGGTGCACGGCTGGTAGTCCAGCTGGTGGTCCAATAGCCGTGGATTTGAAATGAGATCTCATTGTCCACATGACTTGTATACCAGGCAGATTTTCAGTCTGGAGGGACTGTGTCCAGCCAGTCAGAGTGGAATAGTGACCTAGTGCTGAACTTGGTTGACAGCTGCTTGTTTGGGGATGTAAAATCCCAGGCCAGGCTGAAGCAGCGTGCAAAGGAGAGTTGCAATAGAAGAAGGGTGGGTGCACTGAGAAAGGGGTGAAGCAGACATACAAAGCGGTGGGCTGAGGTCTTTTGAGAACAAATAGAGGAGCACACAAGCTTTCCCTATGAAGAATCCTGACTAGCTTGAGCTGATGTCTGTTCTGTCTATCAGAGATACCAATTTAAAATTAGGTTTTGCGGTGCCTTGGTAGCTGATTTTCTTTGTGCCAGACTCAAAGGGCTTTTGACTTTAGAGGAAGATGGTTTGGGCTTTTGGAGATGTTTCTGATGATAGAAATGGGTACCTGTATCTGATCATCGTCCTCGCTGCTGCACATTTGCTCTCTGCATTCTGAAGCCCACTCCTGAGCTTTTATTTAATGCTGAGTGTGATATGAAAAGCAGGTCTCAGGTTAGCAGATAGGAATCGGTAAAGGATTCAAAGGATAACTCTCATGTTATCCATTTTGTACGCTAGTGTAAATTCCACTGGAATCCAGATTGGACAGACATAGAGCTATCTTGGGATAGCCAGACACAGTACACTACTATAGCACTCGGTGTCAGAGAACATGTAACAACTGGTTTTGCCTTGAACAGCTGGCTACCCCATAATGCATTTTAGGGAGATGGCAGCTCCAATTTTTTCCCAGGGTAATTCTCAACCAAATATGAATAAATTACACCAGCGTAGGGATGTATGCCTTGTGTATGCTCGTTTTTTACACTGGTGTAAATATATCCTGGGCTGTGCCCTTGGTTACCTCCCTTTGACAGAACCAGAGGACAATGGGAATATCA